GAAACAATTGCCCATCTTATGACACTATTGTGAGGTGGAAAAGATGAGCCCTCACAGACGAGCCTGGAAGACCATCATTGATAGATGATGTGGCCACAGTGAAGAAAGTGGAGTGTTTCATCCTGGAAGACAGACGAGCAGCCATCCAAATGATCATGAATGAAACTGGTCTCAGTTATAATAGTGTGTGGAAAATTATTCATGATGAACTGCACATGTCTAAAGTGTCTGCACACTGGGTCCCACATTTTCTAACCCCTTTCCAGAAACAAACATGGTGTGACCTTTCAAGACAGATGTTGACACTGTTGGAACAGGACAAAGAGGATTTTTTTTTGGTAGTCTGGTAACCATGGATGAATCTTGGATCTATCAGTATGATCCAGAGACCAAAACCATGAGCATGGAGTGGAAGCATGCTGATTCTCCTCCTCTCAAAAAGGCAAAGGTGCAAAAGTCCAGAAGGGAAGATCTTGCTCTCAGTTTTTTGGGACTGTTGTGGAGTCATTCTCACAGATTACCTTGCAAAGGGACAAACCATCACTGGTACATACTTCAGCAATCTTCTGGACAAGTTGCAAGATACTCTGAAAAAGAAACACATAAATGATTCATGTGCCACCTGTTCTAGTGGCTCCACTGAAATGCTCTCTGCTAGCTGACAATGCACCACCTCACTTAATATTAATATCTCAAGTCACAGTTAATAAAGCAAGGGCATGTGGCTTTGAGATCTTGAAGCATCCACCTTATTCTCCTGACCTTGCACCAAGTGACTTTTTCTTGTTCCCAGGAATTAAAAATCCATTGTGGGGTTGCTGATTTGACAATACAAATGATGTCATTCATGAAGTGGAAGAGTGGTTTAAGGCACGCTCTGCTGACTTCTACAATAATGGTATTCAGAGGGTCAAGAAACGCTGGGAAAAATGTAATCTGGATGGTGATTATGTAGAGAAAAGATAACAGCTACAAATCAAAACAAACTTTCTGTCATTTTTTTAAAAAAAGGTGATAATTAAAACTTTATGACATCTCGTAAGTGGCACAGAAGACTCAATAAGACTCTGGCTTGCATATTACTTAAAAAAGAGGTGGGACATGCACAGATAATGAGCTGCATATGGCCTTCTGGAGGATCCAATGCAGCTTGCTGGCCACCACAAAAGTCTTTGCAACCTCCCCCATTTTTTTAACCAATTTTTTTCTTCCTTTTTCTTTCTTTCCATCAACCCTTGTGGAGTTGTTCTGGGCATTTTCAACCTGAAAATGGGAAACAAACAAACAAACCAAACCCAACCAAACCCAACACCACCTTAGAAAAGCCTCCAAGCTGACTGGAAGTGATGCTCTGTCATTTCTGCTAATCTATAAATTGTGAGTGAGAGGATACATTACAGCACCTAGAGCTCTGGAGGAACTGAAAATCAGGCAGCAGAGACCCCTGGGCTCTGGAATGTGCATCCATTATCCTAAAATATGATTAATTTTT